TGTTGATTCGTATTGCTTTGCCTTGCTGGGCGCTGTCTCTGCAGTTAATTAGCAGGTCTCCACTGTACAGAATTCTGGCACCTCTGACTTCTCCAACAAGTTTATTGATGGTTTTTGTTAAGTGAACCGGATTCCAATTTGTAAAAGAGTCTGCCTGATTAACGACTTTGAATATGACTTTGAATTCATTTTGTTTTGCTGTGGAATGTATGGATTGATCATCACTGGATTGTTCTGAACTAGATTCCCCTTTAACTGATCTGTTTTTTCCGCTTTTTCTCATTTTTTGATGTTGCTATCTTCCAAGCTTCATTGTCACTATTTCCCTCTTCCATCCCACAAGAATCGCTTCCTGTTTCCTCACTACTCACGGCCCAGGACATTTCTCCACAAGCAGAGCAGCTTCAAAACACGCGCCATGCACCAAACGACCATCGAGCTCCTCCCTTTTCCAAAAGTTGTCCTCGCCTGCTCACGCTCCAACACTTTTATTTTGAAAGGATTATTCCTTATAAGGAATAATCCTTTCAAAATAAAAGTGTTTATATTTAATAAATTCAAAGATTACGTCAGTAAATTAAAGCTACAAACAACCATAAATTAAAATGAAGTTTACCAGATTTTAGCATCAGTTATTGAACACATTAAATCAAGGATTTTATAAAACCAGGAGATTCAATCTGATAAAGGAATTATAGAGAAAATGGTTCCTGGTGGGTTTGGCGCAGAGAAAAGTGCGCAACAACAAACCAACGCAGAGAAAAAGTTCAGATTCTGTTTTCTTTGACCAAAACTAGCCTCAGCTTTCCTTTAAGCTTTGGTTCCAACTTTTAAGAAATTCATATTGGCTGATTATTTTTCCAAATTAGAAACCAGAATACAAACCTGGCTCCTCTGTGCTGCTCCTTGAAGAAAAACTGATTTATGATTAGGCTGCTTCCTGCTTTGATGAGGCTCTGGAGCCACACCTCCACCCATGGGTTACTCCTGCATTAACTGATTGCTGGGACAGAGAGTAGGGCTACAGCCCCCTCTAGTGGTGGAATTCACTAAAACCACAATATGATCAATAGAATGGAAACATCAACATCTTTCTCTCTGGTAAATTATCCCTGGTAGAGTTCGGACCCTGAGTTCTGCTTGATCTGATAATATTCCCTCTAACTGTAACATGAACAGCAGCTGGACTGAAAATATGGAGGAGAAACCCCAGAAGTTTATCTGCTAAAGTTAAATAATATTAGTCCTGGTGGAAATAAATATTTATTAAGAACTAAAAACAAATAAATTATTAATTCACTGCTGCTTCTTCATCATTTGATACAGAAACGAAGAGGTTCTGATGAGGTTCGGAAGGAGAACATTAGAACAGAACCAATCAAAGGGAACTGATCCAATCAGCCAGATGTTCCTCATGTTACAGGATCAGACCTTCAGCTGCAGAGGAACACAGTTCATTAAATCACCACCAGATGGCGCTCCATAAACATAACAGAAGCATCAGAACCAATGGAGCAGATAAAGAGCTGTGATCACAGTAATAAAGTCCATCAGCTGTTCCAGCTTTAATAGCAGCTCAGATCAGTCTGTCTGTTGAGACCAGAAGGTCTGTTTCCATCTATTAGATCACACTGGACAGATATGGAGAAACACAAAGTTACAGCAATAAATGCCTACATTTAGAAATAATCAACTAGTAACAATTTATGTTACTGTTAACCCACATAATACAAATAATAATTAATATCTATAAAGAAATCAGTTAGATAACCTTATGCAGAATTAACCTAGAAGCACAAGATCTATATCTCGCCATTCAGCAAAGATACTGCTACATGGCTGTACATCCTGTTTTGGCATTTGACCAATTAGATGAGCCCTTGATTAATATTACCTACTGTAAGTTAAGTTGGAAAAAAGTTAGCAACTCAAAAAAAAGATAAAAAGTTAATTGAAAATTAAAACAGTTAACAATTATATTTAGGTTTATAAACTAAAAAATGTAAGTGCCAATATCAGCATTTATGCCTCTAAGGTTATGTTGTACCAAAAATGTGTTTCTTTCTCTCAGAGTTTCATTAATTTCACATAGAACTTTTGTTATTTTTTCTTAATATAATCGGGCAAGTTGACATTTCTTATTACACTGAAATTGATTTTTGCCATCAAAATATATTTTTTGAATGTTACAAAGGTAATAAGGTCTTGTCCTGGATCCCAATAACACTATTGGAATTGAAATTTTGATTTCAAGCCACAGTATTTCACTAAGTGCCTTATAAAGGGTTAATTAAATGATCATATATTTATGAAATACAATCATGTAAAAATTAGAACCATAAAAACACATTAATGCCTATAAAATAAATGTCCTAAAAATAATAACCTTTATTTGACAATGAAGATGCAATCAGAGTTCTGACAACAACTTTATATAAAAACTGATGTATTTACAGCAGATTAACACCAGAAACAAATTCAGTCATTAAACCCAAACATTTTCTGTATCAAAGCTTTTATAAATTCCTTCAGTTCTTGTTTAAAGTTAGAGTTATAGTAAAAGTTTCACCAACTGATTTTACTGAACAGAATTCAGGCTAAACTGCAGAAGCATTGAGTGAAAAAGTCCTTCATCTGGTCTGAATGGGTCACAGTCAGGAGGTCATAATGAAATGACTGATTGAACTGATCATCATCAGAGGGAGAACCTGTGGAAAAGCAGCAGTTTGGCAGATTACTGGTTTTAATGGTTTTAAGTAAGGCTGGTTCTGAGGAGCTGGAGGAGAAAATCTCTTCTCTCTAAAACACTGAAGGCAGAAACACGTCGGTCTGCTCAGTTGGATCAGAACCAACAGACTTCTGGAACAAAGATGGACCCAAAGTCCAGATGTTGTGATGATGTGGGCTTGGTTTGCAGGAACTGGACCTGGACTCCTTGCTGTCTTTCTGTCCACCAAAGGAATGAAGAGTCCAATGTGAGGACATCTGTCCTACAGCAGCTTCAGAACCTTCAGGGTTCTGTTAAACGCCTGAGTTTGATGCTTTGAAACAGTAAATTAGGAGCAGTTTGACCATCAGAGCTGCTGCTGCTGTCAGAACCAGAGAAACATAGAGGCCCATCCTTCCTCGACCTTCTGGTTCTGGATCAACAGTCGGTCTCTGAGGTTCTGAGACATCAGCAGCTGCTGGAAGAACAAAACATGAAGGAGATTCAGGGAAATCCTGAACATTTCAGATGGAAATTAAAATTGTTCCTTATGTTCCTAACAGAGCACTTTGCTCTCACTCTGCAGGTTTCCCAGAATTTCTAAAGTAGAATGGGAAGCAGATCTTTTAGTTATCAGGCTCCTCTCCTGTGGAACCAACTACCAGTTTTAGTCTGTGAGGCAGACAGCCTGTCTGCTTTTAGGGCAATGCTTAAGACTTTCCTATTTAATAAAGCTTATAGTTAGAGTTGCTCAGGTTATAATGATCTATCTCTATGTACAGTAGTAGTCATTCAAAGTTTCCCCACTTTCCTTGATGGGCCCTTGGCTGGTCCCCTAAGATTCCTTTTTAAAACATCAATCTTTGAACTAAAATATTCTGTCAGGATTTGTGGATATTAAGATCTAAAGAGAAGTGCCATCTCCTGTTCAGACCCTGTAATTCAGTGAAAGGGTGAAGTCCGATTAAATATATATACACGCCCAGGAGAAGGAGGGGGTCACTCCAGCGGCTGGAAGTTTTCTGACATTCAGCTTGTGTTTGACTGGGAAGGAACATTTTAAATAGCTGCTACTTTATGCTGCTTTAGGCTTAGACTGCTGGAGGACATAGGGTTAGTGAAACCCATAAGGTTCTGTACTCTCTGTTTTTCTCACTGTAGAAGCTTTATCTGGTCTCTTCCTGTTTGGCTGTGACTCCCTCCCAGAGAGAAGAATCAGCTGTGATGCTGCTATAATCACCTTTGTTTAAAGATGTTGGAGTGGGGCCTGTTTTTTCAGTGTAGTTCTGTTGGTTTTCTATAAATAGCTATAGGCTCAGCTTTACTGTGACTACCTGTATCTGCGCTCTTTCATCCCTTTAAGATGAAAACTGACTCAGAGCTCATCTGTTTAACCACTTCTTTGCCAGATAAAGCCACCTATGGAGCTAATTTACATAGATATTTATAAATGCCTCTATATTTCATTTGTACTTCTGCTTCGGTCTTGAACCCCAGTCGGCCTCAGCAGATGGCCGCTCACACTGAGCCTGGTTCTGCTGGAGGTTTCTTATTGTTAAAAGGAAGTTTTTCTCTCCACTGTCACTACAAGCATGTTTGGTCTGAGGGATTGGTTTAGTCAATGACCGGCTGCAATCAGCAGGTATTCCTTAGATCAACTTAATGTCAGTCAGAATGAGAAAATGTTCCTGATCTGCTGTTAGAGAAACTGTTCCTGTAACATTTGATCTGGTTTAGATGTTTTCAGATTTTAGAGCTTTGAGTTTTAGAGAAACCTGCAGGAGAATAAAGTGTAATGAGAAAGTATTAAACATGAAACCATCTAAACAACAACAGAAACACTTGGTTCTGTTGGAACCTGGATAAACAGGGTCGGTTTGAAGCTCAAACTCACCAGAGACGTTAAGGTAACATCTTCCAGAGTTGAAGCCATAATCAGTCTTTACATCACAGAGATACAGACCAGAGTCTTCAGTCCTCAGTCTGGACACATGGAGTCTGATTCGTCCTTCTCTGAGGACGTCTTTGTCTCTCTGGACTCGTCCTGAAAACTGTTCATCCTGAGACTTTGACACCTCAACACCTTTATGGACATGATAGAGGTCTGAGGCTCTGGAAGGAGCTAATAGTTCACAGATAATAATCAGTTCTTTCCAGGTTCTGCTGGGTCTGGTGGTGAAGGTCCACTCCAGAGTGATGTTGTGGTTCTCCTCTGCCTGATAGGAGCTCTGTGTCACATTCACTACAAATGTTGCTGCTGAGGAGACAGAGAGGGAAAGAGAGGAGCAGACACACTGAGAACTGGAACATGGGAGTCTTTAAACTCCATCTCTAGAGGTTTCTGTCTCATGATGGTCTCTGTGCTGTCAGAGCTCTGCTTGATTCTCTTCTAGTCAAACTGCTTGATCAAATGCAGCTGGAGGATTGAAGTGTTACCTTCACTGACAGACTTTTCACTGATTATTGATGGATTTAGAACAAAGAGAAGATGGAAACTGACCACAGAGACATGAGTTGATGATGATGAGCAGCAGGATCCTGGAGATCATCTTCTCCTGAGGAGAGGAGACAGAGGAGGAGAGTCAGCAACACATCAGCTCCAACATCACTGACAGACAACAAGGATCATCTTTATTCTGACTTTTAGATCCAAAAGACGTAAACTCTTAAATTTATCAGCTTTAGTTTCTGTAACATTGATTGAAGTCTGTGTTTTAATCTGTAAAGATAAAATGTAAAAGATGCAAAAGAAAAAGGAATCCATTAAATGTGCAGAAAAAGCTTCATAAACCTTAAAAGGATCACCACTGTCACCTTGTGGTCATAGATAAATACTGCAGCAGGTTAAAGGTCTGCTGCAATATTTAACTAATTCCAAGTTCAGCTTAATCTGATTTGAGAACAAATACTCTAGGCTTCTTTATTTTTATGAGGGCTAAATTAATCTGTCAGGATTCATAAAATGAATCCAAACTAAACTAAGATTTTCATAATTCATTGCTTTTGCTAAAATCAAACTATATGAAAGAAATTAAGAGGGAAAAAAATATTGAAGAAAAAAAAAGTTTTTTGTATTTTATCCATTGACCAGAAAAAAGATTTATTCAAAAAAATTGTAAAGAATCAGATCGTGCGGAAAGATAGAAATATGATTCAGAGAAATATAGATCAGACATGCTGTTCTCACTGTTTGGTTCTGGTTAAACTTTTATCTTCCTGTTTACATTATATTTATAGTTTCCATGTATTTTTATAATATTCTTAATTATAAAGCTCTAATGCTTTAATACACATAACAGTACTTTTTAACATGCAGCTTTACCTCGTGTCCATGGCAATGAGGCAACAGCATGTTGCCAACTCTTCCTCGTGCGGGAGGAGCGGAAGAGAGAGCGCGTGAGAAAACTCGGAGTGGATTTTCACTCCTTTGGGGTGATTTGCACCGTGCCGAGACGGTTCTTTAATCAGGAACTCGTCAATGATGAACGGGGGAACGTTTAATAAAGTGACTCTGGTTGCAGACAATGTTAATGGGGAAACCTGTAGAAACAACCTATTGACAGAGATGCCTGCTTCCACCAGCCGCTGAGCCTGCTCCACTCTCTCCACAAACAGAACGACAGCTCCACTAATGATAGCTGCAGGCTTGATGGACCCATGTCCAATGACTTCCCCTACAGCCAAACACATTTCCTCCACGCTGCACGGAGAACCAGCACCCACCTTCATGCCGTTCTTCCGTGTCAGCGTGGAGAAACCTCCAGCACTCCCCACCACCACCATGGCGTGCAGAGACGCCGACCTGCCGCCGGGCAGAACCCAACGGCCCCACAACCCACAAATACCCCCAAAAACTATAAAACAACCAAAAACACAATTATATAAACGATATTTACATACACCCAGTGAAAAAAAAGGATAGAAAAAGTAAGAAAATCCACTCAAACTGAGTTTTCTCACGCGCTCTCTCTTCCGCTCCTCCAACACGAAGAAGAGTTGGCAACATGCTGTTGCCTCATTGCCATGGACACGAGGTAAAGCTGCATGTTAAAGAGTACTGTTATGTGTATTAAAGCATTAGAGCTTTATAATTAAGAATACTATAGAAATACATGGAAACAGTAAATATAATGTAAACAGGAAGATAAAAGTTTAACCAGAACCAAACAGTGAGAACAGCATGTCTGATCTATATTTCTCTGAATCATATTTCTGTCTTTCCAAACGATCTATAGATTGATACTTTATAATTTTTTTTTGAAAAAATCATTTTCTGGTCAATACATAAAAAACAAAAAACATTTTTTTTTCCTTCAATATTTTTTTCTTCTTAATTTCTTTCATATAGTTTGATTTGAGCAAAAGCAATGAATTATGAAAATCTTAGTTTAAAAGCCACTAGTTACTGAAAACATTAAAATAAAAAACTCCTGCTTTGGTTCAGATTTTAAATGTGACACAGAGCTCCTATCAGGCAGAGGAGAACCACAACATCACTCTGGAGTGGACCTTCACCACCAGACCCAGCAGAACCTGGACACAACTGATTATCCTCTGTCTACTATTAACTCCTTCCAGAGCCTCAGTCCTCTATCATGTCCATGAAGGTGTTGAGGTGTCAGAGTCTCAGGATGAACAGTTTTCAGGACGAGTCCAGAGTGACAAAGACGTCCTCAGAGAAGGACGAATCAGACTCCATGTGTCCAGACTGAGGACTGAAGACTCTGGTCTGTATTGCTGTGATGTGGCGACTGATTATGGCTTCAACTCTGGAAGATGTTACCTTAATGTCTCTGGTGAGTTCACCGATAATACATTTTTGTTTCAGTCTCAGTTTAGATGTGGATTTTTATTGAATGTTTAAACTTCATTTGAAGTCATCAGATGTTTTTGTTTCTTCTCAGCAGCGAGGAATCAGTCTGAACCAGAAATTAAACCTGAAGCTGCAAACATTTTGAATAAATGGATCATTTTCCTTTCTGGGACACTAGTAGTTGCTTTTCTCTGTTTATTGGTTTTCTACAGAAAAAAAAAAAAATACTTTCACATCATTGTCTTGAGCTGCAGGTAATCCAGCAGAGTTACAAGGAGAAACATGTTTATAATCATAAATGCATCACAGCTTCCTGTTAATACTGTATTAAGTGTAACTTTACAGCCAAAGCTGGGCTGTTAAAGGTTTCATCTGATCCAGAGTTTAGTTAATCTGGACCAGTCTCCACCAGAATAGATGTAGATGAAGCTGCTCCATCACAGATTGATAAAGAAACCTATTGTGATAAGGATAATTTATCTGTTTTATGGTAACTCTGTACAGAAAAATAAAAACCTTATATTCTGGATAAAGAAAATAGGTGGTTTGAGAGGGGCGTGAAGGAAGCCATCTATGTTAAGAGAGAAAAACCAACTTTAAACAGAGGTGGTGGACTCAGATTCCAGCTTCCAAAAACATACAATTCAATCATAGACATGATCCCTTCCAGATATCACCAAACCCCCTACCCCACCACAGAGGAACGAGGGACCTACCCGCTCCAGCCGGTGAACAATACCTCCTTAACGACCGACCCTTAACAATCATAGACAGGTTTCAGGTATTACAGGAGGCAATCCCCCCCTTAATGGCAATCCCCCCTTTAACGACCGACCCCTAGAATCATAGACAGGTTCAGATATTACAGGCTAACGATGGAACTAAACGACCCATTCATCGGTTACCATTTGCATGTTTCCAAGCAATACAAGGCCTTGTCCATATAAGACTTAAACTCACTGCGGATCCAGACATTTGAATTGAGAAAGCTTCCTGGAGAGGTGGCGAAACGTCTTCAAATCTTGAAAACCAAGTCCAGTGGATATTTTTTGAATTTTTACGGAAAAATAAAAACCATTTTTCAGAACTGTGTCTGAGTGTTTTTACAAAGTGAGAAATAAACAGAAACAGTTGATGAATTCTGCTGATGTCCTGTTATGGTCCCTCTGAGGGGTAGAGGAATGTCTGCATCTCTGACATGAAGGACCAGAGTTTAAATGATGGATGGATTAGGAAGGAAATCTGGTGTTTAAATCTATTTCCAATCTGTTCAGGAGTTTTTCCTTCAATAAGGAAGAACAGACTCACTACACCCTGCTGTCCTGTTGGTGGTTATCAAGATTTCTGGTTTATGAGGAACTGATTTAGATCATTTCTACTTCCTCATCTTATATGAACAGCCCCCTGTTTGTGTTTCTAATATTCTCAACCTCAAACTTTCATTTTATGAGTTTCTGTCAAACAGACTCAGTTTAACTATGTGGATGTTTAATGGAGCTAATATCAGCTGTAGCTATGAACTCTGAACAGACTGAATAAAGAGTAAAATCCTCCTGATCAACCAGCAGTTAAACATGATTCCCACAGTTTAATAACCTCAACTGTCTTTCTGTTCGTCCATCTTTTAATCATCATTATTTATTCAAACTCCTGCATCTGTTTCTGCTGCAGGTCTTTCAGTCTGTTGACATTAATGTAGCTGAGGAGACTCATTAGGATAACTCTGCATAAGGTTATCTAACTGAATTCATTATTGATATGTTATGTTTATCATGTAATAATTTTTTTGTTTGTTTTTTGCAGCTTTTTCTTCTAAAATAAAGTCATTTATTGATTAATGAAATATTTTGGTTATAACAGCTTCACATAGAGACAATCAGTTAAATGATGCCATGTCCTCACAATACTTGGAGAAAAATGATTTAAAATCATCACCAGCAGCCAAACTGCAATGACTTTCCTCATTATTACATCAAGTGGTTTTTATCTTTCTGGGAGATTTTCTGCCCATTTTATGTCTATAAAAGGAACGACTATTAAATTCAAGCTTTATTTCAAAGTTTTTCAGACGTATCAGCTGTTCAAGACAAAATAACAGAACAGATCATTGGTTCTGGTTGGTTGGGTCCAGAAAGATTTTTAGAAATTATTTATAAACTTAAACAAAAACGATGAAGGATTCTTTGTCAGAGTTTAAACAAAACATTAATCCAGTAAAATGTAGAAATCTACACAAGAGAGGAGGCTGGAAATAATTCACACTTTCTATTCTGATTTCTTCTGTTTTCATCTCTGAACCAAATCCTCAACATGATCAGAACCATCAGAGCTGCTGTCAGTCCCAGTGGGATGAAGATGAAGGTCCTTCCTCGTCTCTCTGGTTCTGGAGTCAAAGTTGGTCTCTGAGTTTGGATCTGATCAGCAGCTGCTGGAGAGAAATCAGAAATATTTATTTCTACTTGTTCATGTTTCAAACTGAGATTCAGGAGGCTTCATCTAGAAGATGGAGATGTTTGTTCATCAACACAGTAGAAAGAAAAATACATTTAGATTATTTCTACTAACCAGTTATGTTCAGGCGACACGTTTTAGAGCCATAGCGACGATCAAACTCCACTTCACACCGATACAGACCAGAGTCTTCAGTCCTCAGTCTGGACACATGGAGTCAACTAATTTGATCAAGACATTCAGTCCCACTAACTAGAGAAAGAACATATTTTCACAATAAACAGTTCCTAATTTTTTATGTGTATCACATTGTGCTTTTGTCTCAAAACAGTGAAAATTGTCAAACCCAGACTTTATTGTTAAATCTATTCAAACTCTGTTCAGTTCTACGATTGAAAGTTAATGAGCCAATATGGACATAATGAGCCTGATAGATCTGATATGCATCAATCATTGACTTTGCATGTAAACTTTCTGCTTCTGCTGCTAAAAGTGCATCTGGTGTCAACGTAGCATGAAACAGGAAATTTTTTCTTCTATCTTGGTATGTTATTGTTTTTACCGTCATAAGTTGTAAATTGCTGAGTAATATTTTTCTAACTGCTTCATAGCCTAAAGGATACTGTTTCGAATAGGGAGTCTTTAGGTTAACGTTTGCCCAATGTTGCCAACAATCTGCTCCCTACCCAAAATATAGTGAGCCAGTGAAGCTATAACTTCAGATTTCAACACCAAAACCTCACCAGTGAAGGAAAGATATCTGTCTTTCCACTGGAGTCATTTTACTTGTGTTAGAGTGATAATTATAAAATTATTGTGTGGATATATAAAACATTGAAAGAAAGAAGATCCTACATTTCTATCCTGTGTTTCAACCAGAAGGGTCATAAACTTTTATGACCTCCAGTAGGTCATGAGGCAGAATCACACGGTTGACCAACTGGCTGGATGGAAGTCACACAACCGTGTGATTCTGCCTCATGACCTACTGGAGGTCATAAAAGTTTATGACCCTTCTGGTTGAAACACAGGATAGAAATGTAGGATCTTCTTTCTTTCAATGTTTTATATGTCCACACAATAATTTTATAATTATCACTCTAACAACTTGCACTGTGGAAGGTTTTATTTCCAGTTTTCATTATCCATGACTTTTCCCATTTGAAGTCCTAAAACGTTATTTTATCTCTTTTTTGAGACATGTGGGGGGAGTTTGCTGCAGCTTTTTCTGTTTTGTGGCAGTGAAATAGTCTCACTCCAGCCCTGCTGTCTGCAACAAGTAGCAGTAAGTAAATATTATATGTTATTGTTGATCAGTTTTTAATCTGGTACTTAGAACATAGTAATTGTTTTGTTTTTTTTAATTAAGGTAGGAATCTGAGTGATTAGAAACACCAGATATTCTTGTGAAATTAGGAGAAAACAGATTCGGATCTGTTATACATGTAAATAACTAGAATCAGTGGCAGAAAGAAAAATGATAGAGGCTGATTTATGAACGTTAATGACGAGAATGTTGACAACATTAGAGTACAGATTGTGCGCCAGGAGTGAGACAACCCCGATCCAACAGTTAAGGTGAGATCAATTGTCAGCCTTGCCACGTAACGCTCCCCTCTACCTTCTATGAGGAGAGAAAACAAATACGATCTCGCTCTCTTAAGTCACAGTTGTTATCGGCGTCGCCAGACCCCATTTACTGGGGCACGTACCCCAGTAAATATGAGCTGTGCCCCAGTATAAATCTCATGAATACTTGCAACAGCACTACATTTTTTAACACATCAATTAAGATAATTCCAACGGGAGAAGACGTATATTTCTACTCAAATGCGTAGCAAGTGTGTTGTTAACTCCAAATTGAGTATGTAATAGCGCCCCCACGTCAGCGCATGTCACTGCATGAACTGCAGGTAAACTAACGCGCTGCTCTCAACTGAGTTGGATGGGACACTGTGCGGCCGCTACGCTTTTTTAGTTCTGGTAAAGTTTCTTACCTGTCAATTTTAATATTTACCCAGTGAAACCACATGATTTATAGGCTACTAACTGAAAATTACTGCATTGGTTTGTAGATGGATATCAGGAAATTCCTCACGCGAAGCAGAGACAGGGAAGCAGTAAAACAAGATGAGAGAGAGGGAGGTAAGGTCCCGTGATGAATTAGTGATTTAAGCTAACTAGTTACATTAGGAACGTTATAAGCAATATGATAGATATTTACATAATTATAAATTTAAGTTTTTTAATGTTTGCTGTAGAGAATGAGAATGAAGGTGCTGGAGTAGGAAAGGGAGGAGGAGGAGGAGGCGAGACTGACAGGCAAGAGACAGGTGAAGGACAGGAGAGACAGGTGAAGGTGATGAGGGAGCAACAACCAGCGTCCACAAACAAGAAGGGGACATTAGTGACTAAGGGGGAAAGCATGATGGTCTTGACAAGTGAAGTTGTCCCACTATCCCCAGGACAAATTTGGAGTAAAAAAAAACTTTCATTTAATTCAAAATGATTTGAAAGCTTTTCCTGGTTGAAAAAGAAAGCCTTGTCATCAAGGATATGCAGTGTGTTTTCCACTTGCTTGATAACATCATATTCCCAACACTAACGCAGGTCATCCAGATCTCCCTCACAATCCCAGTCAACAGCTGGAGTTGTGAAAGGTCATTCATTGTGTTGAGAAAGCTCCACACTTGGCTGAGGTGCACAATGGGACAAGACAGGCTCCATCATCTTGCTATTTTATCAGTTGAAAAGGAAGAACTTTCTAAGCTGAGTCACAGTCTAGTGATTGACCGCTTTGCAAAAAATAAATAGAAGGTACACTTTAATGCTCAAAAAATAAAAGAAAAACTTAGTTCAGGTTGAGTTTCCGCTGAACTAAAACCCTGAAACCTAGGAATTAATGATTACTTCAGAATGTGTTTAAGGAAACTTTTTATTTTTAAAGTTGGTGATGTCTTATTTTTTTACAGCTGCAATGTTGAAAATGTTCATGTTTGTTAAAACAAATATGCTCTTACACTCATTAATATCTCAACTGGTAATTTTGGTAGGAATGTATCAGGGTGGGGCAGTGTGCTTGTCTGTATTTGTGTATGGAAGGAGGGGCATATGCGGTAGGGGGCCAGTGCCCCAGTAAAGCTTTGTGCCTAGCAACGCCCTCTGAACACAGTCGCCCTGAGGCGACTGAATTCCTTACACAGTCGCCCTGAGGCGACTGAATTCCTTACACGGTTAAACCGAAAGGAATGCTTCATGAACGATTAGGTGAATAATGCAAATTTACTTGCCTCCCTGCATTTTTTTGACAGGTGGTGCTGCTCTCAGTCACCACTGGTTTACAAAGGTAGTAACTGAAAGCGGGCAACTATATTATATGGACAGAGGATTAGATCAAAACATTTACTTAGATACCGGAACCTTGCCAACAGAAGCACGTGTTCTACGGAGCTTGTATTTATTCCAGCGCACCAGACTCTTCAGTGAGGGCTGGATTCCCATGAGTTCAGGTGAGTGAGAGTTTTCTCTGTTATTGTTCAGATCTATCAGGTGAGGGAACTGTTCCTACTAGATGTTTTCAGGAGCTTCGCCACAGTTCAGTTCAGTTCAGCATCAATCGTAGCGGTAGAGCAGCGGTGTCCTGCTGGGAAACGGAACAGACAGACACGGAGGATGGTGATCACTGCTCCTTCAGTCCATTGAAGCAGAGAAACTCTGATTTCTCTGAGAGAGGATCACAGATCAACTGTTTAGTGGATGGGAGCTGGAAGAGGTCAGTCTGAAGAGGAAACTGTTACAACAGAGTTAGAAAGGTTGGATTTCTAGCAGGAAGATCCAGTTCTGATCATCTAAGAACTAGAATTAGATCTGAATGAGAGCAGAACCCTGAATAGAAATATTGTTGATTCTTTATGTCTTGCAAAAAAATTGTGTTTATTTTAACAAATGTGAATCTCATATAAATTAAACACACAATGGAATCAAACTAGGTTTAATAGAACAATAATGTTCCCCCTGATGAACTGATAGACTTGTGCTTCCACCAATTAATATTTCATGTTTATTCAATGAAAATAATGAGGTTGGTAAATTTATCCCATCAGGTTGAAAAGTCTCCTTTTCTTTATAAACCTCAAGGTTTATTTTAGAAACAAGCTTATTTTGTACAAGATCATTTTTCAAAATTGAAGAACTATGTTTTTAAAGGTTCATGTAAGACAAGATTTATTTAGCTGGACTGAAAAATGTCTTTGGATTGTAAAGGTCACTGACTCTGCTGTTTCTATTTATTGTTCTAGATTCAAACATGATGTAAACAAAGATCCTCATCAGACAAACTGAAGTTCTAGAAACCTCCTCTGTCTCCTCTCCTCAGGAGAAGATGATCTCCAGGATCCTGCTGCTCATCATCATCAACTCATGTCTCTGTGGTCAGTTTCCATCTTCTCTTTGTTCTAAATCATCAATAATCAGTGAAAAGTCTGTCAGTGAAGGTAACACTTCAATCCTCCAGCTGCATTTGATCAAGCAGTTTGACTAGAAGAGAATCAAGCAGAGCTCTGACAGCACAGAGACCATCATGAGACAGAAACCTCTAGAGATGGAGTTTAAAGACTCCCATGTTCCAGTTCTCAGTGTGTCTGCTCCTCTCTTTCCCTCTCTGTCTCCTCAGCAGCAACATTTGTAGTGAATGTGACACAGAGCTCCTATCAGGCAGAGGAGAACCACAACATCACTCTGGAGTGGACCTTCACCACCAGACCCAGCAGAACCCACCCAGAATTAATTATCACCTGTGAACTATTAGCTCCTCCCAGAGCCTCAGTCCTCTATCATGTCCATGAAGGTGTTGAGGTGTCAGAGTCTCTGGATGAACAGTTTTCAGGACGAGTCCAGAGTGACAAAGACGTCCTCAGAGAAGGACGAATCAGACTCCATGTGTCCAGACTGAGGACTGAAGACTCTGGTCTCTATGAGTGTTCTGTGAAAACTGATGATGATGTCAGCTCTAGAAGATGTTACCTTAACGTCTCTGGTGAGTTTATGTAGTTTGCACTAAGCCTGGAACTTACTGGTTCTGATCTGCAAAGGTTAGAGGGGGAGATGTGTGTCCATCCTGGACAGTTCCGTGAAAATTCAAAAAATATCCACTGGACTTGATTTTCAAGATTTGAAGACGTTTCGCCACCTCTCCAGGAAGCTTTCTCAATTCAAATGTCTGGATCCGCAG